AGTGACCCCGGTGTCCCCATGGCCGGCCGTGCTGGTAGGTGACAATGACCTCCGGGATGGGATGGGAGTGTGGCAGCGTCTGTGCGGTGCGGCCGGGATGTGCCGCAGGGTTTGGCTGTGCGGCCAGGTGGGATTAGAGCCAGTCTGGGATGGAACGAGGGGAGCAGGGGAGGTCTGCTGGGCTGGGAGCAGGGGTGCTGGAGGGTTCTGCTGCCTGCGGTGTGCACACCTGCCCAGGCCTGAGGGCTCTCTCTGCTCCCAGCAGATTTCAGGGAAGTACTTTATACCAAAGCACTGGAGGACACTGTGTCCGACTCCTCCGCTGATACAGGTCAGGGCACTGGGGTGTACTGGGAAGGGAAATGGGGCATGGGAGGTGTCTGAAGCCCTCTGGGGGCTGAGCTCACCCTGTTGGGGCTGGGACAGTGGGGACCAGAGGTGGGACTGCTCCTGCTGACTGGGGATGGGACACAGCAGGACCCCAGGGCTCTGAGGACAGGTTTGCTGGGAGCAGCATCCTGGGGTGTGACAGTGGGGACAGGTCTATCAGAGCACTGACCTGTGCCTGCCAGAGCAGTGTCCCTGGTCTGATGACAAGGACAGGACTGCCAGAGCACTGACCTGTGCCTGTCAGAGCAGTGTCCCAGGTCTGCTGGTGGGGATGGATCCATCAGGGTAGTGTCCTGTGCCTGTCACAGCAATGTCCTGAGTCTGACAGTGGGGACAGGTCCATCAGGGCAGTGTCCTGTGTCTGATGATGAGGCCAGGACTGTCAGAGCAGTGTCCTGTGTCTGTTGACAAGGACAGGACTGTCAGAGCAGTGTCCCAGGTCTGATGGTGGGGATGGATCCATCAGAGCAGTGTCCTGGGTCTGACAAGGGGGACAGGTTCATCAGGGCAGTGTCCTGGGTCTGATGACGAGGACAGGACTGCCAGAGCAGTGTCCTGGGTCTGACAATGGGGACAGGTCCATCAGGGCAGTGTCCTGGGTCTGATGACAAGGGCAGGACTGTCAGAGCAGTGTCCCTGGTCTGATGACAAGGACAGGACTGCCACAGCAGTGTCCTGGGTCTGACAAGGGGGACAGGTCCATCAGGGCAGTGTCCTGGGTCTGATGACGAGGACAGGACTGCCAGAGCAGTGTCCTGGGGACACCAATGGAGACACCAATGGGGACAGGTTCATCAGGGCAGTGTCCCTGATCTGATGACAAGGACAGGACTGCCAGAGCAGTGTCCTCTGTGTGACAGCACCCTCCCCACAGGGCTGTGCTCCGAGGCCTGCCTGCTCCACCGCTCCCACTGTGACTCCCCGCCGCTGCTCCGGGCTGGCTCCGTGGGGAAGAACAAGCTGCCACCCTCCAAGAAGGTGCCACAGCAGCTGTCCAAGACGGCCACCCGCTCCCTGGGGGACCTCAAGGGCTACCGGGGCACCCGTGGGCTGGTGGCCAGGTTCCTGCAGAGACCCAAGCGCAGCGTGGAGGTGTCTGGGCACAGCTTCCACGGGCACAAACAGGTGGGTTCTGGAAGCCACAAGGGATGGGCAACTCCTCCTTCCCATCCACGCTCTCCCTCCTTTCTCTCCCATCAACACCTCCACCCTGGCCCTTCCATTGTTTCATTCCCCTGCTGCACCCCCATTGTGTGGGCACCCTGGCTGCAGGCAGAGCGTTCTTCCTGCAGCACCGTCCTTGCCCAGCCCTTCCTGGGGGGCAGCTCCTTTTCCTTGATCCCCACCGGATCCACAGGTGGGAAAATCATCCCTGTTGCAATGGCTTTGGCTTTGCCCCTGAGTCACTGCACCTGGAGGCAGCTGCTGGGACATCCCCACAGCTCAGCTTTACGGGAGTCCTTGCGCAGCCCGGGAGGCCTCGACGGGAACCAACCTGTCCCAAATGCCAGTGTGGGCGCGTGATGCACGCCTCTGCCATCCCTGTCACCTCTGTCCTCCTGCCCCGTGTGCTGCCTGGCCGTGCTGGGGTGGGGGGGATTGAGCACAGGGGGGTGGCACAGGCAGTGGTGCCGTGGGCAGGGGTGTCATGGACAGGGGTACCATGGGCACTGGTGCCATGGGCAGGGGTTCACAGGCAGGGGTGTCACGTGCAGGGGTGTCATGGGCAGGGGTTCACAGGCAGGGGTGTCACGTGCAGGGGTGTCATGGGCAGGGGTGCCATGGTCAGGGGTGTCACGGACAGGGGTACCATGGGCACTGGTGCCATGGGCAGGAGTTCACAGGCAGGGGTGCCATGGGCAGTGGTGTTACAGGCAGGGATGTTATGGGCAGGGTACCATGGGCAGGGGTGCCATGGGAAGGAGTGTCATGGACATGGGTGACACAGGCAGTGGTGCCATGGGCAGGGGTCCACGGGCAGGGGTATCACATGCAGGGGTGTCACAGGCACGCATATCACAGGCAGGGGTACCATGGGCAGGGGTCCACGGACAAGGGTGCCATGGGAAAGGGTGTCACAGGCAGGGGTTCACAGGCAGGGGTGCCATGGGCAGTGGTGTTACAGGCAGGGATGTTACGGGCAGGGGTGCCATGGGAAGGAGTGTCAGGGCTCGGGGTGTCACGGGCAGGG